TTATACCCCTAATTACTTCATTGCATTGCATTCATTCCGTTGTGCTCGCCGCTCGCTTGGCATTCCATGTCGTTGCCCTTGGCTTCTATTGTTTACCCGCTTATGTTTAGTGAAGTTTGTGCAGATTCGTGGCCACGAGAGTCCCGTGAAGGAGACTCCGTCCGAGACCGACGCCGCGGTACCAGCGCGCCAATGCTACGTCATCTGTCAGGACAACTGCAGTACCCGCAAGGTGAGAAAGAACAGCAAATGTCACCTTCGAATTACTCACCAATTCGAGATGAGTATCTCCCCCTGTCTTGCCTCACTGATTATGCCTGCCCTCCCCTCTCTCATGTCTCTTCAACTTACTCGAGCTTTACGTATTGTCTTTTACACGAAACGCTCTCCTGACCATTAACGCTGCTCCAGAACGGCATCGTGCCTCTTGTGTGCTCATATTTTATTTAATTTCCTGCTACCGCTGCCTCTTCTGCTGCTGCCGCTGCTATATGCCGCCGAATTCACTTGATTCTCCTACAATAGCCCGGGCATGCTAGTTTTACGTTGGTATTTAGGCCTACTAGCACGGTCCACCATCGTGTTTCGTGCATTATCCATTGGTTTTAGCCTTGACTAATAGAATCAACCTAGCGTCGGGTTTCCCGTTTTTCTCTCAGACCGTCTATTTAACTAGGCAGGACTCTTGAATGATCCATTCCTTAGAAATTCGCTGTGCTTACCGATGTACCAGTTTTCCACATTGCCAAGAGCTTCTAGGTTTGCAATCTTTGCTGAAAGCGGTGTCATCAAACATCCAAGATCTGCACTGTCCCAGTACACAAGAAGGTTCCAGTAGCTGAAGACAATCACCTTACGCCAGTCTGTAGGAATAAACTAAGCCAAAGTCTCCATGTTCACAACGAACACGGATCTTCTGTCGTTCGTTTTAAATTGACCAACCACCCAGCATTAAGGTTGATGGAGTTTAACAGGCACTGCCCCAACCTGTTAAGCTGTCAGTTATTTAACTAAACTGCTGCATTAGTCTTTTACAAAATGGTAGCGGACTCCGAACCTCCTTAAATGCCTTTGGGTGTCGAGCTATTCTGTGCTGGTCTGTAGGCGTAAGCGGTACTCTGAGTAGTCAACCTATGTCTTACAGACACCGAAGTAGATTCTCGTAAGAGTATGAGTAGAAACCGGTCGCTAAAACTCACGTTTTATTTCTCGATTTTGGACTCATCTTGGAGCACATCAGTATTTAAGTTGCCTCCAGAAAACAAGTACCAGGACACAGATTCCCAACAATCACAGTAATTTCTTGGTGGAGAGAAAACTGAACTACAGTAATACTTTCTTTAGCAGTCTCAGCATCAGATGCAACAGTGTGGAGGAACGGTCACAGGAAACACGCCATCCGTTAGCCAGTACCAAATACGGGGAAGCCCTTATAAACTAGTGTATCCGTCAACACTGTCAGGAACGTAAGGTGTAAACTACCAACCCTATTTAACCCAACCATGCACCGAAGAATGTCCTCCCATGGCAGTGATTTTTTGAAGTTGGCGTCGAGAGCTGTTTGTGGGCTCGTGATTCCTGTGAGTAGCTTAGTACCCGAACGTGGGAGAGCAGTCTGGTATTGCCTGTTACATTCTATGCAACAGTCGCTTCCTGCAATTACACAGCTCATCCCGGGAAATTTCCCACCAACTACATTAACACTACCCGCTAATGCGCGTGGTTCACGTGCTGCGTTCTAATTCAATGATCTGGTGCGTTGCTCTCCCTCCTGTTTGTCACTTTTTGCTGTTTTACGGTTGCACTGTGCGGTCCTCTTTCCGGACAAGAATATCTGTTGCGACACCAAAAATACCGTTTGTTTGCTTTTTTATGCTGATGGCAAGCTCCTGTTTGGGTATGTTGAACTGGGCAAACAACAGTGTAATTCGTGCTTTTATACCTAGTTTAAATATTCCTCAATTTTTGCCTAAAAGACTGTTTCCACCAAATGGTCAGTCAACTTCCTTTCCCAAAAGACAAATGGTCTTAGTAGGGTGTTTACCGCTCTGGTTACGGAATATGCTCCTCCCGTTGTGACTTGGAGCTCAATATAGAGCCCTCGCAGGCAAATGGTCTACTCATCAATGGTCTACCGAGGTCAAAAATCTATGCAATTGATCCAACACAGGACATATTTTCTGCCGAGGTCAACCACTCAGGAGGTCTTTTCAAATGCACCATCGGGAGCCTCCGTAAACTCCGAGTTGGTATATTCACACAGTAGTGTTGACTCCGTATACATTTTTATGCAAGTTGGAATAGAAAGAACCTTAATTTCGACTATCAATTCTCATGTTGTCATTGATTGTATCTCGATTTTTCAGTTTAGCAAACCCGTGACTTTGTTTGCATATTTCTGTGCTTGTTTCCTCCTTTCGGAGAAATTTTAGCATGAAGATCATCAAATTTAAATTTGCATGCCCTGAATGTTGTGGAGGAGTAAGCCGCTACGCTGATGCCTAATGCCTTTATAATATTAGGAGGTCTGTGGGTTGATTTTCGTACCTTCAATATGCAGGAGGCTATTTCGAATTTGAGAACAGCCCAAAAACGAGCAGTCCCGAGAGAAGGGCAGCAACTCCGGAAATCTATAATTGCAAAAAGGTGAATATTTAGGGCTGTTTTCAGCAACTGATCTCGGTAAAGACGCTTGCCTAACAATGGATATAGGTCTGTCCGAGGTGCGTAGCGTCGTCGCTTCTGAACCGAAAACACACCAAGTACCTGGTTTTGAACTCGGGCGCCCAAGGCGCGCCTGACGGATAAACGGGTATCAGCAGTTCTGGGGGTTCCGATGTGCCTTACTTCGACAGCTTTGCTATATATCAGCCAAGCAGTCCTTAGTTTTACTTTGATTGGCTCACCTTCAGTGTACACCCTGAAGGTTTGCAGTGGGCCTAGTTGACTATAAGTGGAAAATAAAGCGATAATGACTGTCATTTTGACACCTTTGCCTTGGTTACCAGCTGGCTGTAAAATGTGTCGTCTACAGATTACGTAAGTCGGGGAAGTGGAACGTCTGTCTGCCCTCAACTTCCCGAGGCTCAGTCTGCTTCTAACTTGACAAGACTGTATGTGGCCTGTTGGATCGAAACACCGGGGTCCAACCACCACCATCACCACTGGCACTTGCCTATCTTGTCTGTGGTAAGTAACCCTTCTAAAATGCCATGAGGTCATGAAAACCGTCTAAGGAGGCCTTCTGAGGTAATGTGTGGCACTTCAGTAAAAGTTTCATGCAATGTACTAAGACGGTCCTTGGAGAAAATCCTGCCATAATCGGATTTTCTACACCGAGCTAAGTGCTTTATCAAGAATGATTTGTCTTTTCTGTTAAGTTCTCTGCTTTCTAAATTCGAAGGCTGTTTAATATTTGTTTGGCGCGGTCAATCAGGTTTGCAATGAAGTAAAAGTACCCCTAATTAACATCAACTCTTTGACACAGTCTTGTAACTGCTTCCCTTACTCGTAGCCCGTTACTGAATTTAAACAAGGGATTTCAATCTAACCCGGCACCACATCAAATTTTTCGACTTTTGACTCGCCTCCATTCAGAAAATAAACGACTGTTGGTCACTCACACGACATTCCAGGTATTAACTGCGCACAAGCTGTTTGAAAACCTATCCTAAGAAAAAGTAAAATTTAACTTGTTCAAAAATTTGAAATAAACTAATATCTCAAGTCCAGGCCAACATCTTTGGGGCAGTGTCTAGGATCTCAAGGCAGTCTTCTTGGCAGACAAAGCCGGAAGTTTACCGTCTTAAATCAGCACTCCCTCTAGGGCTCATGCTTCTGAAATGAGTTGATACATCCGCTAAGAAAGGTCCCACTTTTCATACCCTGTTCGAACTTAGCAAATCCTTCCAACTCGCAGACATAGCAATAACTTCCTTCAGGTACTGTTTGCTCCAGACAGTGTCTGCGAGCATTCTGAGTCTAGCAAGCCATTATTGGCATGCGTAGTGTCTGGACCGGTCATTAATCCCCTCCCCTCGGTTGCTTACTTTCAGGTTTTCGAGGGTATGAGTTCATTGATCATCCCCCGGTCGTTTAAACACCTAAGATTCTCCTTTTTTTTAGAAATCAATGGTATCTATACCCAGCCACCTAGTTTGCGACCTCTGACTTCTACCTGTCTCTTGCTTATGCTCCTCCTTCTGGTTTCCTGAGAGTGCAGTCGTCTTTCTTTCCAGGTCTTTAGCTTTTCTGGCAGGCATTGCCGGTAAGGCACACGAATAGGAACCCCCCTCTACAGTGTAGATAGCCTTGCACCAAATTCCAGGAAGGGTACCTACATCCATTCCTTAAGCCCAGAACTAATCATCATCTTCACTCTGTCCCTAAAGTTCCTGGAATTTAGCGCAAGGCTATCTACATGACGGATGAGGGTTTCTATTCCCGTGTCCTACCGCACTACTTTCCTTGGTAACTTTTTCACGGTTATCGAGCCAAGACCTGCACTTTTTAGTATACACGATTCGAAGGGTTGGAACTAACGGAAGTTATTTATAAACGGAATATAATACTGGCCCAGTTCTGTCAACCTCCGGGCTTTGTATTTTGCTCAAAAACTTGAGGTTATTCCATAAAGGTATAGATTTTCGTGGTAAGTGGACCATCTGTCGGCAGAGTTCACACTTTTGTAGACAGTGTATGACACTTTAAACCCTCCCCCCGCCCCCCTCTCGGTTGATGCGATTCCTTCAAAAGGAAGCAAACAGGATTGAGTCCTTATTCTTGTTTGTTATTTGTTGGAACCTCACCCGTAACTTCCCCTATTCTCGCGAAAGGTCTTAATGGACTTACATACAATTTTCCTAGGGTGTTGAGCATCTTCTTGTCTCTTTTTTAGAAATCTCCCACCGTCAGCAATTTTAAGATGAAGATCAGGAAGGTCGAATGACTCGCTGTGCTCGCCTAGGATGTCCTCCAATAATGACTGAGCATAAACTTTCTGCTACCTATACATAATTGCACCCTATTTTCTACCTGCACTTTTCTGTAATATTACATTTACATTCAGTAAATATCACTTCAGCTCGTCATTACGGTGCCAGATTATGTGTCCACTAAAATCCGACTAAAATCTTTTTCAACTTTAGTCTGTTGCGTTCGCTTTACACGGATGTGAAGCCTTCTTCCATGCCCAAATTCCATTCAGTATTCCTTTCTGTGCTGTAAACTCCCTAAGCGGTTAACTGCAGCGACTAGTGTTACCCAGGAGGACCAGGAAGTACCGAGTGATAATTTCTGGACCAGCTTTGCCTACTTCTGATTAACGTGTACTTGTCTGGCATTTGTGAAATTAGTAACTGTGTGTCTGTACGAAGCTTTTGCATTCGTATTCGCGCTAAG